CAAATGACCTATCAACACTTCCAGCAGACCAACACACAATTCACAAATTTGGGAAATCAAATCGTGGATATCTATACCAAACTGGAAGATATGCAACTCAATCAAGGAAATTGGGATGATTGAGTTTTTGACAACAAGGGTCCCTTCCTATCATAATCTTTTTTCTTTCCTTATGTCATTTTTCTGTTGCTGTTAATTTTCATTTTTGGACTGTAATATTAACTGGTTTTAAACTAGGAACAATTTTTTAACTTTGCTCAATATGATGTAGGTTTTCATTTGAATTAAGAGAGCCTAGATAGAATTAAAAATACTTTTCTGATAAGTTTAGCTGATACAAAATATATTCAATCGATTAAATCAATTAAAAGAAACACTTACATAGGAAATTCGCATCAAAATAGTCGATTAATTTGCGTATTAATCGATTAAAATCTGTATGTCATGTATTTGTATCAACTAAAACTAGTTTACATCAGTTAAATCAACTAGACAAGACATTATTATGATTTTCATGGATCTACTGGTTAAAACTTAATCAATCTAGTTGATATTACCTTAAAACATTTTCCTAATAATCGAATTAAATTAGGCATTCTAGATGCATCAAACAAACACTTAGTTTTCTAAACTGATTGTTTTAATTGATAAAAACAAGCTTTAAATCGATTAAAAGCACTTATACAACATTTTTCTTACTGTTTTAATCGATTAAATGTCGATTTAATCGATTAAATGAACTTAAGTTTCTAACTTTCTAAATTCATCACTATTTTAATCGATTAAAACAATATTTTAATCAATTAAAATAGTAACAGGAACATTTTAATCAATTTTGTCCTGTTTTTAATCGATTATTACTCTGGAAAGAAAAATTAAAGGCTTTAGTTAATGGTTGTTCTTGTAACATGCTACTAAAACATGATTCCCTTATTTTTACACGTGTTAATTGTATTCATTACAAACGTGTTAATGAAGATAAGTTTGAATCAACTTTGATTGGTCTTTATATGAGTAATGTATTTTGTTCATTTTTTTTACTATTTTCAAAAACTAAATTTTGATACATACCATGCATAGTATTTGTTTTGTTCCTCTATTCCCTATTTTTGATGAAGTCAAAAGGGGGAGAAATAATTGCTTTGCTTTTATGCTTTTAATAATGATTTTCCTTATTTAGGGGGAATAGTAATATAGGAGGAGAAATGGGAAAATCATTAATTTTTGAATACTCACTAATCTATATATTCAAGTGACTTCTTCTGCAGAGATATTATTCAAAGAGGTGTTTGTCTTCATCAAATAGGGGGAGACTGAAAGTGATGAAGATCTTATTGAATTACTTTAGTAAAGATCTTGTTGATTTGATGAAGTCAAAGGTTACTATACTGCAGTCAAAGATCACTTATATAAAAGGGTAGAGTGATTAGTGAGTCTGCATCTTTACTTAGGTATAATCATTTTTATCTCTCTATTGCATGAGATTTCTTCATTTAAAAGATTTTGCAAATGCCTTTAAAACATGTTTAAACTGTTAAAAACAAAGTATTTTGTTAAAAAAATTTTAAGTAACTATTTTAACTAATAGTATATGAGCTTTTATCAACTAAAATGTTCTTAACACTTTTGTAACAGGTTTTTAACTGATATATTTTCGAAATAATCGATTGTTTTCATTAGAAGAATTTTTGAAAACTTTCTGCCAGTATTTTAACTGATATAGAATTCATATAATTGATTAAAATGACTTAGAATATTTTGAAAAGTGTTCTGACAGAATTTTAATCGATAGAAACTCGAAATAATCGATTAAAATAACTTGAAGTGTTTTGAAAGTTGTTCTGTCAGTATTTTAATCGATACAAATGCGAAATAATCGATTAAAACAACTAAGAGGTTTTCCAGAATGTTTTAATCGATTAAAACAAGTATGCTATTAGTTAAAATAACTTAGAAAGTTTTATGAAATCTTTTGGCAGAATTCTAATCGATTAAAATGCGTTTCAATCGATTAAAATAACTAAGTGAACTTTTTCCAAAATGTTTTAATCGATTAAAACAGATTGTTATCAGTTAAAATCACTTAGAAAGTTTTATGAAAACCTTTAGCAGTATTTTAATCGATTAAAAGACGAAACAATTGATTAAAACAATTTGAAAGATTTTTTACAAAGTGTTTTAATTGATATAAATGTTGTCGTATCAGTTAAAACAAATCTGGAAAATAATGAAGAACATTTTAACAGATTAAAAGAAGTTTTAACAGATTAAAACAAGATTTTTAACAGATTAAAAGATTATTTTAACAGATTAAATAAACCGAGTAGTTTGTAAAATCTTCTATATAAACAGAGTTGTTTGAACATTTTAAAGCACATCTTTTGGCAATCAATCAAGCAATCATAAGTGCTACTTTCAAGAGAGAATCGCGCTAGTTTTGTGAAGTTCTTTCTTGGGGCAATATTTGCATTCTTTTGGTGAAGAAACTCATTCTGCAGAGCTGCATAAACCTGGTTTGGGTGTTCTAGTTTCTTCTCTTTGTTTCTTTACTTTTCTTTTCTGGATTAAGGGTGCCTGGAAGTGTGGGCACTGATTTCTGTGGCTGGAATTTGGTTGCAGGGTTGTTCAAGAACTAGAAATTGGTTCTGTGAAGATTTAGGTGCAAGGACTGGAATTTTGGTTCTTGTGGTAGATTGAGTGTGTGATTGAAGTTGTAATCTGTAAAACGTTCAATCTAGTGGAACCCAGCTGAAATTTGGCTGGAAACTGGATGTAGCCCTGAGATTGGGTGAACCAGTATAAATCTTGGTTGTATCTTTCTAAACCTTTCTCTCTTTAATTCTGTCATTACCTTTACTTTGATTGTTTGCTGTGTTTGATTCAAGAATTGGTCAGAATTCTTAATTTTTGAAATAGATAGTCTGTAAATTGCAAAAATCTTTCAAATATCAATTTACCCCCTCTTGATCTCAGCCTACATTTCTAACAGTTCTAACTTCATTTGGCAGTTACCTTTGATACAAGCCTGACTGTTGCGACAAATCCATGATACATATAATACATTAGCCTATAAAAAACACATATATTACGTTAGCCTGTACTAGTGTATTACTGATTTAATTCATGCATCCAACTTTCATTTATGAACAATACGATACGAGGCATGTTTACGGAGTGATTTAGTACTCTTGTACCTCTGGCAATCGGGGTAAGGCACCTTGACAAACCCTATGTATGATGCTGTAAACCAGTATTACCTTCAGATATGGTTTATAGTTTATCGAGAATCCAACTCAGATCAAACACTGAACCCCTACTTTCTATTCAACCAAGAGTCCCTGCTCAAAAATATTTGCAGGTAATATTAGTTTATTAACAATATTTGCATGAACTCCTGCAGCATAGCCATTAAAATATGTGTGTAATCATAAGATGAGATTTCATGATTTCGAAAATTTCATTTAGAGTTATGATTTATTAATGTAAATCTCACATGATGAAAATCAAATCATTTAATGGATATAATAACATAGACCCAGAGATTCTAGATTTAAGGTAGAATATCCTGCTAAAAAGAACCTTAAGATTAGGTTAAAGTCATGTTTTTTATTTGAAAAGAACAAGAGTCCCAAGGAGTTCGAGCTATAAAAAGTCAATCTTTTCTTCTGTACATTCTCACCTTGACCCTGCATGCACAAGAGACCAAGGCCGAGGGGTAAGTAACCAAGCTCGGGTTAAAAACCGAGCAACAGACCACGGCCATATCACGATTACTAATCGCAGCCGTATCAGGTGTGAGGTGTCTCACCGTACACGATCACTTGAAGATTCTAACAGCTGCATATTCGAACAGTCAGTTATCCCGTGTAATGACATTGTCAAGTGTTTCGTCTTTTGGTCTAGAAAAGTAGAAGGATTATACAACACTATTTGCAGAAAGATGCAAAAATCATAGAGAACATATATTATGGATTTTCTTCTTGAAGTGATTTCAAATATTTCGTTTTAATCTTCTCTTGCCAGTGGGACAGGTAAAGATATATACTATAATAAAAACTTGTAGGTTTGTGTGACCATATCTGTGCCTCCTCACTTAATTACTTTACCAAATATGAAACGGTTGCATTCAGAATTGCACTGACAATGTAGTTTGAGTTGGCATTATTTTCTCAGAAATCATATTCGATAAGATACTGCTGCTTATTATATAAAAAAAAGGGTGTAACATTATATAGAAATAAGAATAAAAAAAAAGTAAAACGAATGAGATAAGAAATGTGGAATAACTTGTGGGACAAGACTGAAAAATTCTAGTTGCAAATACAAGATTTATTTAAATTATAATCATGTATTGCTTTTGTAACCTTTACTATTATTTAGCTTATGTAATAGACTAATTATAACAAAATATATTTGGTTTTTAGTGCAAGATTGTGTGTAAATTTTTAGATGAAATAATAGATTTTTTTCTTTTAAAATAAAAATTGCACTTATGTGTAATAAAGAATATGATAGATTTAAATTAAGCAAACTTGTTTATGACCGTATTAATTTGGTTTAGATCATGCAATTTTTTCTTAAAAAAATAAAAATAAATTAAACCAAACCAAATCAGTATAAATTGATTGGTTCAAATTCATTAATTCCAAATCGGATAGGTAAACACCTCAATAAAATCAACAACCAATGGTTTGTATATATACACACCAGTTGCCAGTGACATATAAGTTTGCTTTAAGAAATAAATTATCTTTTAAAACACCATTGCAGGCAAATAAAGCCTTTTTATATATGATTGTAGCGATCTCAATTCAACATTTCCCCCTTTTTAAGGTCCAATAAGAATCCTAAGAGCTGAGGAAGTAGATGCACCGCTCTTCCCCCTAAAGTTTCTTGGGTAAGGCTTTGTTTGAGACAAGGAATGAAAGAAGAAGATATCAAAACTAAAGCAGAAAAAGGAAAATAGTTTGACTATTCACCTTTATGTTACGCAAGCTCGGCTATGCATGGGCCTTTTTACGTTTGCCAGCGAATGTCTCATCAGAGACCGTTAAAAGCTTGTTGATCGACATTCCCGCTCCTCTAACATTCTTCTTCACTTCATACCTATGCTTAATCCTATCATCAAACTTGTACCCCAGGAATGCAGGGAAAAGCAGTAACTCCTCAATGTCACGCCCCATTTCCTCTATCAAGTACTCCATCTTCATCTCCAAAGAAGCGTGATTATACTGCAGTATCTGTGGATGCTTCTTGCTCATGGCAACGATCTCTTCACATGAAAACCCATAATTCAAGAACATACCAATCACCATCTGCATGTTCACACTGTTTGTCCTAGTAGCAGACCTAATTGCCACAGCGAAGTCCTTTTTCCTGTACCTATACCCAATCTTCACTAGCAAAACCAGCTTATGTGCAATGTTCACATGGAACGAAGTGCTTAGAAACGTGGGCGCTTTAATCAAGAACTTGAAGATGTCATCCGAATCCAACCCACATTCCTTGAGAAACTGTATTCTAGGTCGCAGTTTCCTCTCTCTGCTAGCAGTAACAATAGCAGGATACACTTGTAGTATCCTAAATATCTGTCTGTAATCAAGCTCAGCAAAAGAACTCAAAAACCCTACATGCCCCTCCACATGTTCCACACTATAGCTCAAAAAAATGGGAAACCTAACCAGCACTTTCCCAACACTATCCGCATCTCCGTCACTAAGCTCCATCAGAACATTGACCCTAGGAATAATTTGAGCATCCAAATCATGGTTCAAAATTTGAGGGCGTTTCAAAATCAAAGCAATGCCACCAAAGGGTTCTAGGAAAGCTAAGGTTCTATCGATTTCATCAACCGACCTGCCACACAAGACCTTTGGCAAGTTCACTTTGTTGAGCACATGCACAATCTGGTCAACGGGGATTCCACGGTCAACTAGGAATCGAACCTTCTCAGGAATATTCACCAATAATTTTTGTTAAGAGGCGATTCAGTCGCTGTTTCTGGAGTTTTCCTTGCAATTCGTCTCGAAGGAAGGTTAACAAAGGGTCAATTTCGTTGTCTGTTAGGACAGTTGGGCGCTTTGTGATTAATTTGCCGAGAGCGAGAGGGTCCAAGTCGAGAGAGCGTAGACAGAGAAGGCGGGCGCGCAATGATTCTATAGACGCAGAGGTTAGGTCAGGGTTGTTGGAGAAGAGGACTTGAGTTTCCTCAAAGCCAATACCAATTTCTTGAAACACAGCAAAGAACGACGCTGAAAAAAGGAAGCGCGCGAGTGAGTTAATAACAAAGCTGTTTGAGAAATTGCCTCGGAGGAGTTAGTTGTTTACCTACCAGTTTGAGCATCGGCCATGGCAAGGGAATTAGTGCAGCGAGGGCGGTGAATGGAATGCTTGTTTGATATTTGGGGTTTGAATTGGGTTTTGGCGAGGGAGCATTGGAGTTGGGGTTGAAGTTTAGGGTGGAAGGTCGAAGAAGAAGGAAAGGATGGGTTTAGTAGCTGCAATGGATGAAATATGGTAGAACAACACATACACGAATGGTTAGAAAACAGAGCAAGTGGCAACACCATCTCTGTTAGGGCCAAGGACACAAGGGAAGTGGCGCTGCGCGCACGATTTATGAGTGACGTGAAGTAGCCACGGTGAAAACGTAAACCATGCCACCGGAATGAGTCGAAACATAAAAAATTAAAATTCGTTACTTTTAAATTCAATAAATTTGATTTTCATTTTAAAATTCTATCATTTTTCAAAATATATCTAGAGATGTCCATATATATATATATATATATATATATATATATATATATATATATATATATATATATATATATATATATATATATATATATATATATATATAACTCTTACAGTCCCAAAATAGATGTATAATATAAAATTATATATATATATATATATATATATATATATATATGGTGTAAAATATTTATACAATCAATTATATAATTTAAAAAAAAATATTAGACAAATAATAATTTTAATAATATTTATAATGCAATTCGATTGAATTAGTTCATTCGTCTCTAACCATTATTCAACTTAATTATAATTGGATATATTAAATACCACTAAACTCAATTCATGGAAAATATAATTAGATTGGACTACTGCGGGTTCAACCCACTTCCACCCCAAAACATGATGCAAAATATCCCAACAATAACCAACTGAAAGGAAAGCAAATCACGGCTGCAAATATATTGATGAAAAAAAAATTTCAATTTGGGAAAAATGGAACCGAAATTTACAAGGTAAATGTTTTGACACTACATGTATATTGAGAATTCCAGAAACAAACTCTTTTCAAGAGGACAAGGTTTTTAATTGATAAATCCCATGGAAGAACAGTAGTGCCACTACCAAATTGCAGAAAGCCCGAAGTCTGCATCATAACCTGCTGCAGCTAACTTCAAATTTGAAGTTAAATTACCTGTAAAGACTTGAATTATTTTGTTGCTCTTAGTTTGTTAAACTTTGTTCTTTTTCTTTGCTCTTTTACAGCGCCGTGACTGTTATTAAATGGCTGGTATGTTTTCCTTTCTTGAATTTTTGGAAGACCTGAAGAAAAGGCAGAACCTGCAAGGTGTTATGGGATATTCCTAGTCGAAACAGAAAGTATACGAAGAGAAGTGAATGGAAGAAGATCAATCTCTTTTCATTCCCTGTTCTTCAAATACTTCCCACGAAAATGGACTGATTACAGCATTAAAAGAAAAATCACTAACCATAAGTAACTAGCAATAATTGCCTTCTTCGCTTTAGATAACCCTGTGTGTCTTTATAGGCTTCTCTCCTCTCATGTTGATTACGTTGTCCCTGAACACGACAGCACAAGAAATATTAAAAATTCTTAGGAGTGAAAAAGTATGTGTACTTGAAGCAAGCCACATCCAATGACCCTAAAAAGAGAACAGTTCTTTAAACTGATTGACTTATTGCTACTTATTTCAAAGGTTAAAAGCATTGCATACAAGCACTTGCTTCACAAATTATAAGAAATGAAGAAAATACTTAACTTTATCATATAAAACTCACCATATATTATAATCTTATAGTATCTTTAATCGCCAAGAAATTTCCTCCCAAACATGGTTCAGCATAATTTATTTATCAATATATCAACTATATGAACTAATAGAACAACGGGCAGATGCAAGTGGATTTTTCCGGCGTTACTAATGTTGAATCAAAATTAAATATACCAAGGAAAACTTGTATTAATTCTATGATGCCTATCATCAAGGTAATGCCCAAACAGCACAAGGCCCATAGCAACAGTTGTTAAGAGAAAACTGTCATCTTCTTAATTTGCTAGAACAAGATAACAGATGTATCTAGGGAAATTTTCTCAAAAAGCTTATAGGAAACTTAAAGGGAGGTGTAGAACCGTAATATATCAAAACCAATTGACCACAAGAAACATAATTTTTATAAATCTAATCATTCAAGGGAATGCAGATTGAAGCACAACAGACTATATATTGAAACAAATGGAAAACTCGTCTGTGTTAAAACTTAAAAAATACAAAGATAATATTATGATTGGAATTTAATACAATTGTTTCTTTTTTATAACAATGGACAGTTCAGGATAAAATATGAATATGATTAATGTTCTTAGAATGGTTGTGTGTGATTCCACTTAAGCAATTTCGAGAAAGCTTAAGGGCTAGTGAAGTATACTTTGACTCATAAGAAAATAGTAAGACGCATGTTCTGAGAACTGCTACTCGAAAAATTATTATCAACAGCTTAAATATAAGTAAAATAGAAAACTAGCTTTTTCAGAGGGCTTTATCCTTTATCTTCAAAACACAGCGCGAAGCTTGTACATAACAGAGTCTCCTACCAGTAAAGTTGATCATCAGGATGTTATCCTCTCATTTTCCTTCTGGATGTCAGGAGTTGTTGTCAATCAACTACAGTAATGTATGTAGTTGAAGGAATCCTCATCATACTTATATTTGAGAGAGGAGACTATACTATTAGCCGATCTACAAGCCAATCTCAACTAAAATAATTAGGAGGCCATAAGAACCTCATCCAGCACTGTATGGACGATTTGCCATGCTAATAGATAGATATATTTTTCTCTATATTTTCTTGCTCTACTAATTAAGCAGCAGCGAAATGGCAAATGGTATGAAATGATGAAAAAGTTTGTCTAACCGAAGCACTCTGACCCAATAGGCAGTAAGCCCTTTCATTCAATACACTGAAACCTCTAAAAAACATAAACGATCATGTTCGTGAGCACCCAATTGAGTATAATTTTTTACCAAATAAAACATAATTTACCCACGTCAGCACCACAATCATCTAAACGTTATGAGAAAATTGAACTAACATTTCCGATATTGAAACCTAAGTAAAATAACTATAGTAACATGTTATGTTAGACTTAAATAACTAAGCAGTTTTAAAGTTATACTTGAACACACAAAGCACTCTTAATCAAAGATTATGCAATGCATATACAAACACGGGGAAGGAATAAGATAAGAATCTGTATGAGAAAAGTGTTGGGCATTCTTTATTAGTTCTTAAATAAGACCAGCATTTCTATCATATATACACACAAGCTTTAGTGTGAACATTTTGAAGGGTTTATCCTGCAGAAAGCAAACCATATCACCAAGTTTAAGAACACAAGTCAGAATGGGAAATATAACGATTAAAGAAGCCAAAAATAGAAGTAGTACAAAACCTCCAGCAGAAAGAGATGAGAATTATTGAGATAGATCCCATGCAATCATAAAAATCAGGATGGAAACTGAACACTTTTCTAATTTGCACTAAAGTAGCAATTTTATTCTTCATAAAATCGCTGTCAAATCTAAGGAAAACCGTCCGTATGTGCAGTTAAAAGAACACTGACATTACCACTCCAAACTCCCACCAACACAAATCTTGAACAGAATATAGACCAATAGGCCGAAACCAACATAAAATATAACAGCACCACCATCTTCCAAGCATGCGATAACGATAAAAACAACACAGCGCATCCAATAACAGCAACAAACAATAGAGGGATACAAAAAACAAAGCAAGTGGCAAATTCCTTGTATGTTATAAAGAGTAACACAGTTCAAAAATTAAACGCAAGCCTCGGCTAAAGCACAAGGTATGAAAACTTCAATTTTGAAGTTCAAAACGAAGCAAAAACATTCGAATAATTGAAGCAATATATATTCATAACAAAAGCTGCATAGGCTCTTACTTGGAGGTGTCAATTGCGTTGACATCAACGTCACGAGTCGGGAGAGTGGAATTACTCTTCCTCTTAGCGAGAAACTTGTTCTTAGGTTTCCTCTCTCTGACTTTCCAAATGTTATTTTTCCTGAAAACGAACTTGTCCACCTTCCACCCGGAGCAACTAGTGTCGATCACGGTCACCTCACTTTTCGTGAAACCCTTCAACTCGTTCCCCTCCTCCTCGTTGCCGCGATCCCCGGCTGGCTCCTCTTCCACTTCCGGCACCACCGCGTCACCACTGGAAGGTGCGACGGGGGCGGTGGCGGCAGTGGCGGAGACGGCGGGGATGGAGGAGTTGGCCGCGGAGGAGGCGAGGAAGATTTTAGGGTTGGTCTGTTTCCTGGGACACTTTTTGTTGGTTTTGGTGAGAGTGGCGCCCATGCAGAAGAGCTCAGCGAGGAGGGCGGTCATGGGCTTGGGCTCATCTCGGGCGGCAGAGGGAGGGTTCCGGGGTGGGTCATTGCGGCGGGCCTGGGGGGACTGGGGATGGGCCGTGAGGAGGAAGGAATCGAGGTCGGGTTCGTCGCCGGTGGGGATGCCCTTGCTGGAGCGGAGACGGTCGAGCCAGTTCAGACCGGATTTTCCGGTCTGGGCTGAGCAGAGCATGGTTGTTGAGGAGAGAATGGAAGTGATGGTGGACTGCAGTGGAGGGAGTGAGAAACAAACAAAGAAAAAGGAAAGGGAGGGAGTGTGCAATGCGTGTCGTGAGTCGTCGGTGACTGCCACCTGGACAACAAAGTGATATACTGTGTTTCCAAATTGAAGAAAAGTTATTCATTAAGATCTATAATATTTAAATTTTTACTTTAATAACATGTATTTATTAAATACATTATATATTATTATTAAAAAATAAGTATAATTTGAGAACAGGTACAGTATTTATATTACTGTAGGCAGTGTTTATGATTGTATAAACATAGCCAGTTATATGGATAGATTGTTATTTTCATTTTTTTTTTCCTACTTGATGACAACAAAACATCATAAATAAATAAATACAAGTTAGTATATTATTTAATGGAAGTGTTATAGTAATTATTAATCTAAACATTTATTGCAAATTATGGAAGAATTGTGTTGGTGACTCTATCTTATGAAACATTTACTAAATTCTATTTGTCAGTGGTATTTCAAAATATTATTAACAAATAAATACACTTTCAAAATTCTAGCACACACATAAATATGTACAAGTTTGTATTGAATTTAGAGGGTTATTAATATTTTTAATCTAATAATTAAATCAATTTATTATAATAGATTACTAAAAGTAAATTGCAAGTTAAGAATAAAAAATTAAATGAATCTCATGTTTTTATATATATAATCTTTTTAAATAAAATTAAATAATTCAAAATAAAACACTTATATAAATTAAAAACTATTATTTTACATTTGTAATAACAAAAACATAATCAACTTTTAAAATAATTATTCAAAACAAAATATATATTATTTATTTCCTTTATTATATCTAATAAAAATTAAGTTTTCGTGATTCATGGCTTTATTTTCTTATTTAAAAAAATCATATATAAACACATTCAATAAAAATAAATAAATAGCATGAATACAAATAAAAAAATCAATATCATATGTATGAACGTCTCTTCAATTAAAAACTTGTTTAAATATACTGATAATTTTATGTTTTAGATACATATATTATTAGCATACAACACTGATAATATGGTTAAAATTAAAAATCTCATGATATATATATATATATATATATATATATATATATATATATATATATATATATATATATATATATATATATATATATATATTAGGCTAAAGGGAAAATTAGTAGTATATATTCAAAAGACATACAATTTTCAGAAAATTATTTTGTTGATTTTATTTTTATGTATTATTTTATTTCATTTAATTACAATCAATTTATAGGTTATATATATTTGATTTAAGTTGAAAATGTAATATTGAAAATTTTATGAAGAAGGGAAAAAATGTTAATAAATCTATCAAATACATTTTTGTTTTTATTTTTTTAACTGGTAGATAAATGTGTGAAAAAATTGAAGTGCTGAGATGTGAGTGTAGAGAAGAAAAGTTAGTATATGTTTGTGTAATAATAGCTTGATATTGTCAATTAATTTATCAAATAAGTTTTTTTTTTTTTACTTTTTCTAAAGGATAGATAAATTGAAATGTTGGATGTTGAAAAAAATTATTAGATTTTTATGTAAAAATAATTTAATACAAATATTTAATCTTTGTAAATTATATTTTAGTATGATAAGATATATAATATATACGTAACAAATGAGTATTTTTTTTTTACCAAAAAAAATGGTAATTTTTTAGCATTTTTTTCTACTATATATAATTTTTTAATAAATTTATATATATATATATATATATTTTTTTTTCATAATTAATTTATGTTTGTCTTATTTATTTTAGCATTTTTTTCTACTAATTTTTAGTTATTAATAATTTAAAGTTGTTAAATAAAAAAATATTTTTTATAACAAATGTTGATTTAACTTAACTAGATTTAATATTGCATCCAATGGCTTTAATCAGTTTCGAGTATATTAATTTTGAAAACATTAATATAAAATATATTTTATTAAAATATTAAATATTTTATAGATGTATACATACTATAGTAATAACATTTAAAATATACTAGCATTCCTTCAACTTTATAAATATAAGTATATTGTGTTTATAATAAAATATAAAAATTATATTTATTTAGAAGACTTACCATTTCTAACTCTAAGATGATGCACATGTTTTGTTCAGTAATATTAATGGAATCAACAACAGCATGACAAAATAACAATTTTTTTCTTAAATATCAACAGATATTGATATTATTATTATTATTATTTAATAATACATAAATTTCTCGTAATATTATATGATTAATGCTATTTCTAAAAGAAATATTAATTCAACAGAAAATGTTATAAATGCGTAAATAATGTAAATACATTTCATGATAATAATTAAATTTACAAATATATAATTAATTTTAATTATTTCATTTTAACTATCTCATTGGATAAATGTTAATAAAAATTATAAAATAAATAAACAATCAATAATCTATTTCAATTTTGACGTGATTGTCTTTTATATATCGTAAATATTTAAAAAAATATATAAATTATGTACGGATATTTTAAACATATTAAATACAGTTTTAAAAAGTGTAATTAAAATGAATCCATGCATAACACGGGTTTAAAATCTAATTAATTAAAGTAAAAAATAAAATAAATTTTGTTCTTATGAAAGTCTAGGTTATGCAATTTGTATACACCAATAACTTTAGAATGGTTTTACAGTTACACTTAATTTCCCTTTACTTTGAAACAAAGATATTCCTCTAAAGGATAATGCATTTTTAAAAAGGAAAATGATATTTTGACAATCCAAATTCATACAACTCCTATAAACAACTCTCTTTTAATATTATAATAATAGTTTTGCTTTATTTTTATTTTTATTCAATCATTTTATAGATTATTATATTAATAAAAGTGAGTTATTTGAAAGGTTGTATGATTTCTAGTTGTCAAAATATCATCACTCTTTCAAGAAAGCATCTTATTTATTGACTGGTAGGAATTTAAGAAGTTTTGGTCTAATTGTTTGAACTGATTTGCTGGTCTCTTAATAGCATTGGTACAAAATAATGCAAAAATCATTAATCATACCCAATTCACTATGTGGTCCATATCTATGAAGAGTGTTACTTTCAGATGCTTATGAATTAATGGTACTTTTGGATAAATCAAGAATAAATTTTATTCAGAAAAATTATGGAAATATCATTTAAGGTAACAGAAGTGATTATTTTTCTGTCAGATATTCAATCATAATTATCCAGAAGATTTGGATGCAGCTAATAACTTTTTTAATGTCTTTAATGTAATTATTTTAAATACAAGAATTTCAAATGAAAAATCAAAGACGCACTAAAAACAAAAGTATTTGGTTTAACACTGTGGTTGAATTAGGACTAGGTTTGGAGGGCATAAAAAACAAAATATGCAAAATAAGTGTTGAATCACAATGGGCAAGATAATAATGGTTTCACTTCGTGCCCTAACCCTTTCCACTATCTCATTATTAGACATTTAGACTAGCACAAGAATGTGTACTAAGTTTGTTAATTGTCTTATTAGATCTTTGTTAGTCTAGTCTTGTTCAGAAATTGACAATCATTGCTCTTATTGTTGTCAGTGAGTGATTTGTTACTTTGGTAAATAATACTAAATACTAGTGACTTGTTACGTGATATATGAAATTGGAATATGTAATTACATTTTTTTTCACGCTTTTTAAACATTATTTTTTTATTTTTCTTTTATTTTTAAAATAATTAAAAATTATATATATATATATATATATATATATTTATTTGTGTCTTGATTATTTCATTTATTGTTTATGTAATTTTAAAAAAATTAGAAAACAAAAAGAGTATTTTGCTATTTTTTTTAACAAGGATTTATGAACTACTACGAGAAAACACTTTTTACGACAAGCATCCAACGTCGGTTATCACGAAGACCGACGTTGTACAAGATGCGGTGGCAAACTTGTAAATATGAAACAAAATTTAACGTCGGTTATATAATAACCGACGTAGTAACTGCAATTCAATGTCGGTTATATGACAGACGACGTTAAATGTTTAAATTTAACGTCGGTTATGTATAACCGACGTTGAATTCCCAAAATCAACGTCCGTTACATGACTTACCCGACGTCGAAAGCGTTATCCATGTCGGGTTTTTTAATAACCGACGTTGAATGTCCTTTATACCTCTCCTCCTAGGCGCGCTGCCCCCTCGTCTACTTCTTCTTCGTCCCACATACTCCCTCCTTCTGCTTCTTCTTCGCTGTGCCTCAGTCCTCACTGCCGCCCCCTCGCTCTGCCCCCTCGCCGCTCCTTCGCCGCCCACTCGTCGCTGCTACCTCATTCGCTGTGGTCTGCTGCCTCAGTCCTCACTGCCGTGCTCTGCCCCCTCGTCGCCCCTTCGCCGCCCACTCGCCGCGCTCTCATCAGGTTAGATTAAGTTGTATGGATGATTTACAACATGCATTTAACATAAATATGGATTATTTAGAGCATTTCCTGCAGAGGAACATTAGAAAGATGATGGATGATTTTGTATATATGGTTTGATTTGATCTAGGTTCATTTAGGTTTCGAAGTGGTATATGGAACATTAGGTTTCGTTTAGGTTTAGGTTTAGGTTTCGAAGTGGTATATGGAACATTAGAGCATGTATGGAACATTAGAGCATTGTTAGGCAATGTACACGTTTTTTTTGTATTGTTTTGTTAAACCTTTTCTAATAAACCTTGAATATCTAGGCAAGCCTTTTTGTGTAGTTAGATGGATCGAACTTGGGTCAATGCAAGTCGTATGTCAGAAGAGTATGAGAATGGAGTTGAATCCTTTTTGAAATTTGCCGAACAAAATGCTCCCAAAATGAATGGAAAAATCTACTGCCCATGCGTTAATTGTGTAAATGGCAGAGTACAAGAGATGGACACAACGCGGGAGCATCTTATTTGCGATGGGATGATGAAGAATTACACCATATGGACATGGCACGGTGAAGTGGTTGATATTCCAACAAGTATCACAAACTATTGAGGATGATGTAACTCGCAAAATCGAATAGAGGACATGCTTTGTGATGTGGGTCAAGAGAGCTTTCTTGAAGCACATGCATCTATATATGATACATTGAGGACCGATTCGAGAGACACCTTTGTATCCCGGATGTACAACTTTCACACGGTTGTCATCTCGTGTTAAGATTGGTCAATCTAAAAGCAAAATTTGGTTGGAGTGATACAAGTTTTAATGAATTACTCCAACTTTTGAAGGAGATGCTCCCAGCACAATAACACCTTGTCTGGACCGTATGTATGAAGCGAAGAAGATACTATGTCCGATGGGTTTAGAATATAGGAAGATACATGCTTGCCCTAATGATTGTGTGTTATACAGGAAAGAATTCTCATCTTTAGACCAATGTCCAACATGTGGTGTATCACGTTACAAAACGAAGGATGGTGATGATTGTAGTCAGGAGAGTGGTAAAAAACGTCCTCCTGCAAAAGTTTTATGGTATCTTCCAATTATTCCAAGATTTAGGCGGTTGTACGCTCACGAAGATGCTTGAAAATTTAATTTGGCATTCAAAGAGAAAAACATGTGATGGGCAAATGCGACATCCATCCGACTCTCCCCAATGGAAGAATTTTGACCGTCTATTTCCAAGTTTTGGAGTGATGCAAGAAACCTTAGACTTGGATTAGCAACAGATGGGATGAATCCTTTTGGAAATTTAAGTAGTAACCATAGTTCATGGCCCGTTTTATTGATGATTTACAATCTTCCACCATGGTTATGCATGAAGCGCAAATATGTCATGTTGTGTATGATGATTTCAGGTCCAAGACAACCAGGAAATGACATAGATGTGTATTTGAGTCCTTTGATAGAAGACTTAACACTATTATGGGAGGAAGGAGTAGATGCATTTGATGGGTATCAGCAGCAGAAGTTCAAGTTGCATGCAATGTTATTTTGCACCATTAATGACTTCCCTGCCTATGGAAACTTGAGTGGGTATAGTGTGAAGGGGCATTATGCTTGTCCTATTTGTGAAGAAGAGACCAGTTATATACAATTGAAACATGGAAAGAAGACAGGTTTATAACGAGCACAGTAAAATTTCTCCCGCATGACCATCCATACTGTAGACTCGAAGAAAGCTTTTAATGGCATACAGGAGGATGAAATTGCCGAGAGAACCATTGACTGGTTTAGAAGTTTACGATCGAGTGAAGAACATAAGCATTACATTTGGAAAGACCCAAAAAAGGTCTTCTGACAAGAACATGTGGAAGAAGAGATCAATTTTCTTTGATCTTCCATATTGGAGCCATTTAGAAGTATGACATTGTATTGATGTTATGCATGTGGAGAAGAATGTATGTGATAGTCTCATTGGCACATTGTTAAACATTCAAGGAAAGTCAAAGGATGGGATCAAAGCACGTCAAGACCTTTGTGAGATGGGAATACGTCCTGAATTACATCCAAGGCCTAAAGGCAATAGAACATATCTACCACCAGCATGTCACACCTTTTCAAAGAAGGAGAAACGTAGTTTATGTCATTGTCTTGTAAGTATTAAAGTGCCACAAGGATACTCTTCAAATATTAAGAGTCTTGTATCCATGAAAGATCTGAAGTTAATTGGATTAAAGTCCCATGATTGTCACGTTTTGATGCAACAGTTGTTACCCGTGGCTATACGTAACATATTGCCTAAGAATGTTAGACATGCCATTATGCGACTATGTTTTTTCTTCAATTCTATTTGTGCCAAGGTTATCGATGAAAAATCACTAGATGAGTTGGAAAATGAGGCTACGGTTGTGCTATGTCAATTGGAGATGTATTTTCCTCCATCATTCTTTGATATAATGATTCACTTAATCGTTCATGTTGTGAGGGAGATACGAATTTGTGGGCCGGTTTATTTGAGGTGGATGTACCCAATTGAGCGATACATGAAGATCTTCAAAGGGTATTCTAAAAATCCATATAGACCTGAAGCTTCAATTGTTGAGCGGTATATTGCAGAAGAAGCCATAGAATTTTGTTCAGATTACTTGGCAAGAGTCGTACCTGTGGGTGTACCTAGAAATCGTCATGATGATAGGCTAAATGGTAAGGGAACTCGTGGTATTAGAATTCAAACAAAAGATCATGTAGAGTTGACCACCGCCCACTTGTATATTTTGAACAATACAGTAAGAGGTTATTCCTTACATAGATGCGCATAAAGCAATGTTAAAGGACCTAAACCCCAAAATGGGTGAAAGGTGGTTGATGAAAGAGCATAACAACAACTTTATCAATTGGTTTCAAAGCAAAATATTTTCAAGTGACAATGCCTCCGATACACTGAAATGGCTAGCACATGGGCCTAGATATAATGTTATAACTTGGCAAGGGTATGACATTAACAAATACTCATTCTATACGAAGGCACAAGATGACAAAAGTACGGTCCAGAATAGTGGAGTATCTATTGAGGCAACATCTATGCACTTTTCTAGTGCAAAGGACAAAAACCCCATCATGGCATCAATTAGTTACTTTGGAGTGATTGAGGAGATTTGGGAGGTCGACTATACTAAATTCAAAGTGCCTTTATTTAAATGTAAATGGGTTGATAGCAATACTGGTGTCCAAAGAGACCAAATGGGATTTACTTTGATTGATATAAACAAGATTGGTCATAAGGAAGAACCCTTCATAATGGCATACCAGGCAAAACAAGTGTTTTATGTCACTGATCCATCAAATGATAGGTGGTCAGTTGTCCTCAAAGGAAAAATGATTGATGTCACAAATGAGAATGGAGAAGAATTAGATGATTTTATTAACATTCAAAATTCACCACGGTTGCCTATTGCTATATCCCAATTGGAAGAGGACTTTGTTCATGCTACTCGCAATGACCATGATGAAGGCATATGGGAAAATATTAATACAATCTAAGTTATGTTTCTATTTATTTATTTTTTTAACATGTAATTGAGGAGACTTTGCATGTGTATTGATATAATTCTATGTTTTTTTCATTACAGGTAAATGGCATCTCCTCCACCATCTCCTCCACCATCTCCTCAGGCATCTCGGAAAGACATTTTCCAGGAAGAGGAGTCGACAATCTACACGGTTGAAAGGCTTGACCGTTAGACACATATCCGGCCGAAGTTATCTCGCTTTCGTTGATCCTAGGACTCGGCAAGGTGTCAGGTCCCTTCAGTACCCAATTTAGTAGCTACTTGGGTACACTAGCTAGAGAGAAGGTATTTATTCTATTTCAAAGTTAATTTCATTTCAAATATATTGTTGATACTTATGTTGTTTATGTTGTGTAGATATCTATTCTCCATCCTACTTGGGATCATGTGGAGGAAACTCGTGAAGAACTTGTTATGGCAAGATCTTCTTGTAAGTATGTGTATTTAGTTGTTTATATTGTTTATACATTATTATCAATTGGTTAACTAAAACTTGTTTGCTATTGTAGGAACACTTTGATTTAGTTAATTCTGAGGATGTGAGGAGGAAGATAATGACAAGTCATAGCAAAAATGTGGAGACAGCTCAAGTCCACATTGACCACTAAATGGGTGTATGCT